GGCCCCGCGGCCGACGACGACGGCGTGCGCGCGCGAAGAAAAAACGAATGTGTCCCGCATGGTATTATTTGACAGGGATGATGGCCCTGGCAGGTGCGCAACCGTTGTTGCAGAAGTTCGAAAAAGTTGCTCGCAAAAGCCCGTTTGACAGAAATGTTTAAAAAGTGTTGGGTTTCCTACGAATCCGCAAGAGCGCGCGGGATGAAATTTTGACAAGTTTTTGTTTTAAAACCATTGTTTTTGTTTACGTTTTCATGTTAAAATCGCTACGAAAACTAAGGTTTTGGAAGGATTTCGTCTTGCGCGCGCGAATGTCCACTTTACCTTATTTTTTGCAAGGGATTCTTGAAGTTTGGTTATGTTAAAACAGGAAATGTCCACTTTAGCTTATTTTTTGCAAGGGAAAGCGGGGGACAACAAAACAACCGGATCTGGTACACATCGTTTTGCCTGAGGCTTCCTCACGAAAATGATGAAAACGTGGCTGCGGCCTAGGCGCGGCGGGGGGGGCGCGCACCAGGGGCCCCAACAATAATTATTCTTAAGAAGGAATAATGTTCAACAACAACAACAACAACAACACCAACACCAACACCAACACCAACACCAACAACAACAACAACAACAACAACAACAACAGTGAGAGTTCAACAACATCAATACCAACAACAACACAAAGAGTAAGACAGGCAACAACAACAGCAGCAGCAACAACAACCACGACGACGACAACAAAAATAAAAACAACATCAAACATCACAACAACAACAACAACAACAACAACAACACCAATCATGTTAATACTGTTCGCTCCTATCTGCTCGCGTGCCATTCACCACGCATATCCCAAATCCTCGATACCCTCCCTCCTCGTCTTCGGTCGTACCCTTTTAGGGGAAGGTCTTTGCTATCTGAAACGCGCCTTTAGCGCAGCCCCAAAAACCGAGAAGAGGACGGATGAAAGGGAGAGGGAGAAGGATGAAGCACGATTGAAATTTGCAATTACCAGGCTAGGAGCAGAGACCACGTGGAAGAACCAGGCGGGCAGATCGGGTGGGCGGACCCTAGCGGGCGGGTGAGTCCGGCATGAATCGCAAAGAAATCTCGAGCGATAGCGCAATTCCCAAGTAAACCGTGACAAAGGCGAAAGCGAGAGTGCGATTCCTCGGCGTCGAGGGCGCGGCGTCTGAATAAATTGCGACGGAATTCCACGCGAGACCACGATTATTGCATACACTGTGAGGGAGTTCCACGCGAGAGCGCGATTTTGCAATAAACGGTGACGAAATATCCAGCGGGAGCCATTGTTGTTGTAAATCGGGGGCCAGGGGCCCAATCTGAGCCTTAAGAAATTCCCTTGTAGAAAATGGGGCGCGAGCCCTGGAAGGAGCATATTAATTGACAAATACCATGGACGCCAGAACGGGGATCAACAAACACTATTCTTAAAGAATGAGAATTCAACAACAATAACAACAACTAGAAACTATTACAACTACAACTACAACTACAATTACAATAAGAACATCAACAATCACAACAACTACAACAACAACCACAACAACGACGACGACAACGACAACGACAACAACAACGACAACAACACCTACAAAAACCACAATGAAAACAACAACGAAAACAACAACGAAAACAACAATATCTATAATGTTAAGACTGATCGCTCTCATCTGCTCGCGTGTTATGCAACATGTATATCCCAAACCATCGATGCCCGCCCTCTTCGTTTTCGATCGTACCCCCATCAGGGGTATACCTATTTTCCCTGCTACGTTTACTTCGTGCAGCCACGAAGGCAAGGGAAGAGACGACGGATGGAAGGAAGGGACAAGGGGGAGGGAGAAGGATGGAGCACGAGAGAGAGTGGCAGGAGGGGGGCTAGGAGCAGAAAACGCGTGGCAGAACCAGACGGGCAGATCGGGCGGGTAGACCCTAAGGCGGGTCGGGAAGGCAGGCCCAGGCGGCCAGGTCGAGCAGGCGGGATGCTGAAGCGTGCGCCCTGCATGAATGGCAAGGACGTCTCAAGCGGTAGCGCACTTCCCAAATAAATCGTCCGAAAGTCCACAGCGAGAGCGTGATTCCTGAGTGCCGAGGGCGCGGCGTCGGAATACATTGCGAGGAAGTGCCACGCGAGAGCGCGATTCCTGTAGAAAGTTGATGTAGGTCCTGCACGAGAGCGCGATGTGGGAATAACTTGGTCCGCCACCCAAATGCGACTCCCCCCCTGGGCGGTTCGGGGGCCGAGAGAAGCCCCAAGAAAGCAAACGCGCCCCAAGATGCCCGCGAGACGGTGCTCGAGGGCCCCGAATCGCCGAAGCTTCGGTCCAAGTCACCAAAGTAGCCTCCAGACGGCTCAAAAGGTTTCCAAAACGACCCAAGATGCCTCCAAGAGGACTCCAAAGAGGGCCCTAAGGGGCAAAAATCATAGAGTTCCCTTAGGTGTTTGGAAGATTTCTGCATTCTCGCCTTGTCAGCTTCCCGA